TCATTTAAAGCATTTAAAGGATTTGCCACTGATGATTCAAACGCGAGTTTTGAGCAGTGTAGAGTAGCTCATTTCTCCGAATACACAAAATAATGTTCTTTTTAGCAACATCACATGACCCCTTTAACGTTAGCTAGTTTTAGCAAGAGATACCTTGCTGAAGCACAAGATGACATTAACGTTCTGCTTGAGCAGATGAAAATTGTAAATGAATGAGAGTATGACAACCAGAAAATGAATGTTGAATAATAAAATAAATTCCAATTTGCATTGTCTATCTTCTCATGATACCTGGAACCAGTGTTACAAGTACCACAGGTACATCATTTTGCCATTTTTGTAGCATAAACGCCATCAAACTGATGAGAGCTTTGGATCTTCCAATGTTTCCCTATGATGCTGACACCTAAAGATGTCTGAGTTCCAGTCCCCATGCAACTGACACTCAACTGCCATTGGCTCATCTGCGTTCGAGGGGAGGGGCTTACCGATAGGTCAATTATACACCCCTGTTCTTAGGCTACGTCCACACGAAGCCAGAGCTTTCCCTATCCAATCTTTTTTTCCCCCTCATCTCAAGAAATATTTCATCGGTTGCATGAAAGTCCTTAAGTAATTTGACTTAGGGGTATCCCTGAGGGGGAAAAAATCCCTGAGGTAAGGGATTTCTTTAGTAGCGTTGCAACAAACGTCTTAACGGTCACCCTCACATAAGTGTTTATACTAAGCGTTTCACGGTAGTTTCTGGCAACATACGGCAATGGGCGCCTCGGATACTATAGTTACTACATCTCACAATAAACAGATATGTATATATATCTATGACAATAAACAGAACATAATCAAATACAAACCTAATCAACTAAAACACAGACAAACATTAAATAAACATGAGCGCTGCCCGTTTCTGCGCTGCTTTGTGTACAGTCGTTACAGAGGAAACCGCTTTGTTTCTGCAGTGAAAGCGCCTCCTGCTGACAAATGACGGAAAATTTACCAAATGTGAAAATTAACCCATGTTTTGATGCTGCAAACACGCAGAGTTGTAAATGCGAACAGGTGGAACGACAAGATAATGCATTATAAAAATCTAAACAATTAAGACAAATTATATTTATATTGTTATTTAATTAATGTAATAATTGATTAATAATAATTGTTTAAATTGATACAACTCGTCCATTTACTTAAAAATTTATATAAAACTTTTTGTTTTGTGAAAACCTGTAAGTCATGCTTTTTACAGTCATTTTACAGTTTAATATGTTACAATAGTCATTGCCCTACTACGCTCATATGATATTTTATTTGTGCAGGTCTTAAAAAATGTCTTAAGTCTTACATTTGAGCTTAAAAATCCTGCAGATACTGAGTTTAAGATGACTTAAG